AATTCGATTTTAATCTCCAAACCGTTTATAGAATAAGTATTAAATATAACTTAAAATGAATATTTAATTGATAGCGAATTGTGTATCAGCTTATATTCGATGTATTATTTGCAAGTTCAAAAAAGCGGCACAACATTTCTACATTATTTTGGATTACTTCATATGCAGCAAGATTTTAACCATACAACACTCCAGTTAACAAACAAAACAGCTGTCTCGTAACTCAAATTTTTTTTTTAGATTTTACAAACTATTAATGTTCTCGTGGGACGGAGTTGTCTAGCGGTAGAGAGCTGGACTGCTAACCCGTATGTCTCGAGTTCGAATCCTGGTTCAAGTAAGTAGACTGGGCATAGTGCTGACCACACTATCTCTTCATATACCGAGGTCACAGAAAACGAGGGAACTCTACTTCACTTGCCCCATAGATCGTCATGATTTAAAGGGAAACTTTACTTTACTTTTTTAATGTTCTAGTAACAAAAGGGGAATCAACCCATTCCGGTGCCCGGGGCGAACAGAAAATTTTGCACTTCCTCCCCTAATTGTGTATAGTTATTTAAGTTTGCGCAAAAGTCACTATCCTGTAACAGATATTCCTTTGTTTCCAAACAATCGATGAAGAAAAAAGTGAAATCAGTCTGTAAAGTCGAGTTTCCACTTATTTCCTCAACTGACGGTGTGTAATTCAGTAATGCATAAAATGCTATTTTGTTTACCCCGTTTGGCGCCCTCTTAGTGTCGGCGCCCTGAGCAGCCGCCCCACACGCTCTCAACTAGATACGCCTCTGTCTAATAGAAAGCAAATATAAAATATAATTATTAATTTACTTTTAATTGTTGTTAGAAAATTGTAAAATCATTTTTTTGTGAGTTTATTTATTTATTAGTTTTTTTTTTTTAATTTTTCCAATTTAAAATCAGTATAATATATGTCAATAGACGGAGTAGCCTAAACAGGTAGAAGATAAGACTGCGAAACAGAAAGACTGGAGTTTAAACCTGTGGTTTACCCAGGTCTGATGAGTTCCTAACACATGTTAGGGAAAGTAAAGGCGGCTGGACATAGTGCTGACAACATTTTCCCTTCACATGTCTAGATCACAAAAAACTGGTGAACTCTACTACATATAATTTTCGTCTTGTTTTGTAAAATTGTGACACGTATTTTGATTGTATCAATTTGTCTTTTTTTAATGAAATATTACATGAATGTGTTTCGGAAGATTTGATTACATGTGTTTCTTACGAAAGCTAATTAGTAGGCCCTATACTATATCAACTATATAAACTGTACATTACAAAACTCGTTGAACTTAAAAGACATCAAATGAAGTTTTTTACACACTGTATGAAGCATGTAGCGATCTGTCTATGACAAGACCCCAAAGTACTAAATCTCGTTCAAATTCACTTTCGGGTGTACTCACACAGGCTACATACTACACACTCAAGGGACATAACTATGATATTTGTAATACAAGGGACGTAACTATCACTTACAAGTCATGACGTAACATAAACTTTCAAACTTAGTTGAATAATTCGCATAAACACAATCGATAGCTTAAAAATATTTTGAATTTTTATTACTTGTGAAGCTGATGCTAAAAAGCTTTCAAGTCTAATGTGAATAAGCTATCGAAACGATTTATTGATTATCCACATACACATTTATCAGTTGATGAATTCAGGGATCCGGTTGGCTGTTGCAAGCGCGTGATGGGACAAGTTGTAAGAATATATTGGTTCGTCTGTCGTAGTGAGTGGTTGGGTGATCTGTCATAGTGGGGTGTTGAGGGAACAGGGCATTTCCCCCCTGTCAATTACCCCCCCCCCCCCGGACATTTCCCCCCGACATTACCCCTGAGTAATTACCCCCCTGTCAATTAACCCCCTGTCAATTAACCCCCACCCAGTGGGACAATACCCCCCCCCCACACCCGGACAGGGTTTGAGTTAGGGCTAGGGCTAGGGCTAGGGCTAGGGCTAGGGCTAGGGCTAGGGCTAGGGCTAGGGCTAGGGCTAGGGCTAGGGCTAGGGCTAGGGCTAGGGCTAGGGCTAGGGCTAGGGCTAGGGCTAGGGCTAGGGCTAGGGCTAGGGCTAGGGCTAGGGCTAGGGCTAGGGCTAGGGCTAGGGCTAGGGCTAGGGCTAGGGCTAGGGCTAGGGCTAGGGCTAGGGCTAGGGCTAGGGCTAGGGCTAGGGCTAGGGTTAAGGTTAAGGTTAGGGTCAGGGTCAGGGTCAGGGTCAGGGTCAGGGTCAGGGTTAGGGTTAGGGTTAGGGATAGGGATAGGTTGGTTTTGGTTTAGTGTGAAGTTTTAGGCTAAGGCGGATGCTTAGGTTTTGGTCTTTTTCTTAAGGTTTGGATTAAGGTAGTATATAGGTATAGAATTCTAGTTAGAGAGGATTCTAACTTTAGAGGGGCGGGGGGGGGGGGGGGTAATTGACAGGGGGATAATTGCTCCGGGGGGTAAATACGGGGGGGGGGGTGTCCGGGGGGTAATTTCCGGGAGGGTAATGTCCTGTAATCGTGTGTTGATACGTAGTAATGGGTTGATATGTCTTATTGAGTTGATGGTTGATCTGTCAAAGTGAGGTGTTGTTTTACTTGTTGTAGTTGGGATGTGTTGATATATCATAGTGTGTAGGCCTGTCATAGTGTGTTGATCTTTCGTAGTGTGTTGGATGTCGTTCTGTGTTGATCTGTCGTAGTGTGTTGGTCTGTCGTAGTGTTGAACAGTCGTACTGTGTTGATGTAGTGTGTTTATAGAACAATTTTACAAAAACAAAATTTATACTATTTCCATACCTACTATACTACTTTCTTTGTTGATTTGCCAACAAATCAAAGAAAAAAGCCATATCAACAAGTAAACCGATATTTAGACAGTCATCTATGCTATTTTTAACAAACACTTAACATGGCATAGAGTGATCATTTACCTCCTGTATTTATAACCGAAACAGACATATACATGTTTTGTACAATCGGCTAACAACACAACTCAACATATCACTCCAAACGTTAAAATCCTTTTATCTGATTCATCTAAAAATATCTCATAATCCCCAGTTAATATGCTAGATCTTTGTGATTAGATCGATGCTCAAAGTTTACGGTTGAAATGACTTCAGCTTTAATTTCACCAATAAACCAATTACATTGCTTTTCATAGATGTTTCGTCAATACATACACATTTTAACACATGAATGACACAATGCTCTTCTATGTGCATTTGTGTGTGTATATCTACACGTCTATTCGCGTATGATGTGTGTATAATGCGTGTGCGTTCCTTAATTTCTACACATATTTGACAAAAAAGTAAAATAAAAAGTATCTTTTTTTTTGTCTTAGCGATCCATTGAGCAGTTGAAGTGGAGTTCATAATTTTCGTGACCTATGTAACGAAGGCAATCTGTGTATAAGTAAACCTTCTTAAATGAATTAAATTATACGTCATACAGAAGTATTACTATTGTAAATCTGTATTAGTCCTCATTAGTCGAAGATAAAAACGGAAATACTATAGCGAACACATGGTCGAGAAAAAAGATAAACATTTTACAACTCAACGACTTTAGGTGCGAAAAAAACATGGTCTATTTTTATGTGATTAGTTAACCAACGACAAATGTACACTTATTTTTAATGAAACAGGTCAAATGCCTTCATTATGAAATTAATTAAAAATTTAGTAAACCAGTCTACTAATATATATATATATATATATATATATATATATATATATATATATATATATATATATATATATATATATATATATATATATATATTTATTTATTTATTTATTTATAAAGGGGTGACAGATTTTTGCGTGGGAGGGGGGCTTTCTTTTCCTGTTCTGCCCATCCTTTAAGCGAAACTTAGACGACCACCTAGAAGAGAACCACCATATGTTGCATTACCGTTATGCAAAGGAGAAAACATTGACCTTTGCATTAAGCTGAAAGGTTAATCTTCTTCCATATTTATAATTTCACCTCTCCCTTGTAAAACTGCAATAAAAATTCAAATTAAAAATTCATTTCTGTTTCGTAAGCTTTAACGGATTAATCGCACAGATGTCTCAGAGTCGGTAAAGATTTAGGTTGTATAAATTATTATTGCACTACATTATTATGCGAGTTTTTTTATATTCGCTAAGCTCTCATCATAATAAGACACGTTCGATGTCTTTACACTCAGAAATGCGTTGCATATATGGTTGTTACGAGGTATGGCTTGGTCAAGTGACACAGAGTACGATTGCTAACCCAGAAGTCTCGATATTGTATCCGGGCTCGATTGTGTACAAAGTTCTTGAGTCCCCCAGCTTTAATGGGTACCTGACTCACGTTCGGGAAAGTAATGGCCGCTAGGTATAATCATGAAAACACTATCCCTTCATATGCTAAAGTCACAGAAACAGACGAACTCAAGTTTACCCGGCACATGGACCGTAAAGTTTGAAATTGTACATTACTTATTACAATACTATTTTATCAAGTTTAACTAATAATGAAAAGGCAGTGTCGGTGGAAATTTATAGCGAATTGTAGAAACATCTATAGGCTAAAGGCTTCAAATGAAACGTATATACAAAGAACACACAACGCACATTTTAACATATTTTCAATATTTATTTACCCTAATCACGAACAATTGAAGTAAGTTGGAGAAAAAAAAAATATATATATAGGGGGGGGGCCTATATATATATATATATATATATATATATATATATATATATATATATATATATATATATATATATATATATATATATATATACTTATAACATATTAAGAACTAAAATTAAAATATTTAAGATTCTTAAACTATTCGAAACAAATGAAACAAAAATGCATATGTTCATAAAAGCTTCTGTAGAAGTTCATTACCCCTAGGTATTTTCTTCCACCTGATGTTGAACAAAATTCAAACGTACTTAAAACTGGTGTTGAAGTCACTGACCCCCCCCCCCCCCCAGGTACTTTATTCCACCTGATCTTGTACAAAATTCAAACGTTCATAAAAGCTGGTGTTGACGACCTTGACCCCCATGTACACATCGCGCGTGTCGTTGAAGATCTTCTCCTCCAGACAACCAATCGCTAGCCTGTCTTCGTGTAGGTAAAATTTGTTGGCGAATAATTCTTTGGCTTGGCCGAGCCTGGGTAGATCCCCTGTAGACATGAAATTTCAATTTAAAAATACGTATGTAATCTATATATGGGGCCTAATATACCATCTCTCTCACACTTCCTCCATTTCTTCAGACATCGTCACAAAAAGTTGGACCACTAAAATGACATCAAAACTGGATCGACACCGTCCCTATAATTATATTAAAGTTTTTTTGTTGTTGTTATAAGATATCGATTTAAAAAAAAAAATAAAAAAAGTATTTTCTTAGCGCGCTCAACCATGAGCAAATTTATTAATCTTTTTTTTTAATTTACATAAACAGTTACTTATAGAAAGCAAACAATTATCTTTGTCACATTACATTTTAAAATGTAAAAATGTGTCCTTACACACTACGACCCTTCCCATCTCCACTACGTCTCAAAAAAAAAAAAATTCCGTGTGTGGCGGTGTTTATGGAGCACCTCCAAGAAGACTATATCATATTAAAGTTATTAACATTAAATCTATTGTGTAAAAACAACCTGAACTTAGAATGCAGACCCCTCTGACAAATTTTCCAGCGCACAGTTTGAACGTCGAACCCCAGATCGTGTACCTGGCTACGTACTCATGTACATCGTCAGGGTCACCTGAAATACGGGGTTAAAAATTCAGATAAATAAATAATATGTACTGTATATATCTAGTACATATAATTTTCTTTCTCTATAAATCTATTTCGCTTTCTCTATTACATATATATATATATATATATATATATATATATATATATATATATATATATCAAAATTTATATTGAAATATAATATAAAGAATTAAAAAATGAAGTTGAAAAATTATTAGTTAAGGCAGGGATTCCCAACCCCGTGCCCGCCGAACGATTCGTATGTGCCCGCCTCTCACTATTCGATAGAGACAGAAATTTTTTCATAAACATTATTGAAAGGTTGAAGGGGATGGAAATCGAAAGTTTGAGGGGGGGGGGTGCAAATCGAAAGTTTTGTCCCCGGGTGACGGGAAGGGTCGCTACGCCTCTGGAAGGAGTTTGTCGATTTAAAATAGGTGGTGCCCGCCCCCCTATCGATATTTTAGAATGTGCTCTAGAGTAAAAAAAGGTTGGGAACCCCTGCGTTAATGTAACTGTTTTAGTTATTTTTCCTTTGTGATTCTGTAACTTACCATTACTTTAAAACATGAATGTTATTGCGTCATTAAATGTTAACAATATAAAATATATCGCATAAAGTAAATTGGGGGAATTATTTCTCTAAGTTATACTGAAGATAACTTAAGATAACTGATCATTGCTTTTTAGAAAAAAAATGTATCACTTCCTTTACGGTAGTGAAACTTCAGCGCACAGTTAACTACAATCATTGAGGTTTACGCTCATCTAGCTCTATACAATCACTTTTAAACTAGTATCATTGGCTGACACAGTGGCGTAGCGAGGTCGGGTGTCAACCGGTGCGGCACTTAATGCCCAGAGGCGTAGCGACCCTTCCGGCGCCCGGGGACAAACGTTCAATTTGGCGCGCTCTCTGGATCAAGCTTTCAATTTTCGATTTGTACCCCCCTCAAACATTCGATTTGCACCCCAATCAAACTTTCGATTTGCATTCCCCCCCCCCCCCCCCCCAAACTTTAGATTTGATCCCCCCCCCCCTCTCCACCCTTGTCGGGATTTGTCAAATTTGCTCTTAAAAGACTATTTAACACTCGACTTAATCACCTATTTAAGTGGAATTTTTTTTTCTCTATATATTTTGCAATTTTTTGCCTTGTTGTCACCCCCCTAAACGGTGTTACCCGGTGCGGTACGCACGCCCGCCCCACCCCTCGCTACGCCACTGGGCTGACATAGTGACATTTATATTTAAAGTAATGATTTTATAACATATTCTAAAATGGAAATATGTATTAGTTCTGTAACAAAGCAAGGCGTTTCGTATATAAATTATTTTGTATTCAAGGAGGATAGCCTCGATCTCTTTTTTTTCCTGTTTTAAATATACCGAGAATTATATTGAGTTGTTCACCTTTGTAAGTTCCCTTTATCCCCAGCTGTGGGTTATAGTTGAGTGAAGAAAAAAATGTTTCGTCAGGAACGAAAGTGTCTTTGTTCCATTCAAGAAATTCCTTTGCAGTCTCGTTGTGAAGTACATAGTTTACAAAATCTCTGAAATAAGTGAAGAGATAGATAGTATAACAATGGTTTTTAGGTGTAATAATTTTTTACAATTTAGTTATTCATTTTTCCACTGTTCCGTTCATATTTTTCTTTTAAAAAAATGCAAATATGAAATCGTCAGATGTCAAAATGGAGGTCGGCGTGGTCGAGTCAGTTAAGGAAATAGATTTGGAACAGAAAATTCCCGAGTTCGAATTCCCGGGCAGATGATGTTTGATTTATTTATTTATTTTTGCGTCCTTATAAATAAGTATTCTATTTAAACATATACAGAGCTGTATACCCAAATTGTATATTATTTTTACTTTTTCTGTTTATAAAATTAGATGTATATTGTATGACCAGAACCAGTGGCGTAGCGAGGGGGCGGAGAAAAAATGATAATTCCAATTAATTAAGTGATTAATTCGAGTGTTACATTGTCTTTTAAGAGAAAATTTGACAAATGCCGACAATGGTGGACGAGGGAGGGGGGTGCAACTCGAAAGTTTGAGGAGGGGGGGGGGTGGGGTTGCAAATCGAAAGTTTAAGGTGGGGTGCAAATCGAAAATTGAAAGTTTGTCCCCGGCCCCCGGGAAAGGTCGCTACGCCTCTGGGGGGTGACAACATAAAGTGCCGCACCGGGTGACACCGGACCTCGCTACGCCACTGACCAGAACTCACCTGTTGGCTGCTATATGAACTGATCCTTTCAATAAACGGATTCCCCTCGGGGGAGTTTTGCCCTTCCACCGTGTAGGGTAGGCACTGTTAAAAGAGAGTGTTGCCAGTGTTTCTTCCATTATCTTTACATTTTCTACAGAATGTCTTTGTAGGACAAACATTGCTACAAAATATCTACGTAGTAATATTGTGGTATATATTTGCAATGGCGTGGCCTAGCGGTAGAGACCTAGACTGCTAACCCGAAAGTATCGAGTTTGAATCTGGGTTCAAGTCAATATAACAGGGTCCACCTAGATCTGATGGGTACCTAGCTCATGTAAAGGAAAGCAAACGAGTGGGTACAGTGCTGACCACACTATCCTTTCATAGGTCTCGGAAGTATACCCTATGTGTCTTGAATACGAACAGGAAAAGATGATTTTTAAAATCATGTCTTTGCTAGACATACCTCGGTGCTCCTATGTCATAATTCGGCTGCTGATGTTAACCAATGTACATTTAAGACACATGTTGATGTGCAATAATCTCTTCAACTACATTACGATATATTTCAATATTTTTATACAAAATGTATAAATAACTTAATCTAATACTTTAATGTCTTATTATGAATAACTATTATTCTAAACTACTTTGTAGCATTACACATTTCTACAAAAGTGTTATGAAAAGTTAATTAAACTTTACATTACAAACATTCAACAAAGTTTATTGCGAAAAAAAGATTTAATTTTAAAATTTAATATTCAATTAAAAAAATATTAAGATACAAATATGTGCAGCTTTAGATATATAAAACGTTTTATAAACAACTTTTTAATACTGTAAAGAACTCACTATTTTATAGTTCCATTAATACTGTTGGCCCCTCTGAATGCTTTCAGTATTTTAACAATCTGATAATTTGTTTTCAAAGGAAACATCTGCCCCGTGAGATTGATAAAATATTTCCATTTTTTGTAGCGAGAGAGTTCTTTCATACAGATTAGCTCGGGCTCTAGAACAGAGAACAAGCCCCAAATTACTTCGATTCTTTTGGACGCGAGGAAAACGTTTGGGAAACATTGCGATATGGCTGAAATAGCTGAATAAAAACTCTCTGAAGATTTCAAGTCCACGTGAATACAGTAATAGTTCTGTGGCCTGTAGATAGCCCGCAGTAGCCTCTCAACCATCTCCGAGTCTTTGTACGCCATGATGGTGTAAGCGATGGGGAACTCTTCTTCCTCTTGGGTCAAGGACGACATGATGTAACCACGTGACAGCTGAAAATCGTGACAATCCGTTGTCACGTTTAAATAATAATCATCGGAAATATCTGAAGTGATGTTGTTTCTCCGCAATATAGCTTCTTCTAAATATGCTGTGTTATTTTGAAACAATCGTAAGCAATCGAACTTTGGCAACTGGTATAAAGAACTTATTTCTTGAATCCGTTTTGCATAATTGTACTCCAGACATTTTCTATTTATGATGTGTAATGACTTGGTGCTTGTTGAAAAGCGGTATTGGGTTTCCATGAAAAGAGTTAAGTAAAATAAAAATATAGTGGCGGCTATAGCAGAAATAAAACAGCATTTCCTAGATAGTAAGCTGTTCATTTTATTGTTTCAAAATTTTTAATTCGTTTGCTTTTTAAGAGATTTTCTGAAATCGTGCAAAAAGGTTACATTTACATAGGCTATATATTAAACACACACACACACATATATATATATATATATATATATATATATATATATATATATATATATATATATATATATACGGTGTATTTATAAGTTTATAATTGATCTACATCCAGTTACAAACATGATTAATTGTTAATTTATTATTTGAAATGGAATGATGTAAATCAGAAGACACAATAAGTGCAAAATGTAAGAAGACACATATTTAGATCGAAAAATAACTTATTTATTAAGTTAGTTAATAGCCGGGTATACGAAGTCAATAAATGTGTTTCACTAATCGCAAAGAACTCATACTCAACTCCAGAAGGCAAGTGAAGTAGAACAAAACTAACTCTTTGTTGATGGGTTTTTACAAATCATTCTTCAAATGTAAACAACTCACACCAAACTCTTTTTCTTAATTTACAGACTACTATTTCTAGCAGAGAGATAACATGTTTAAACTACGAAAGCCAAATGTGAATACAAAAGAGAAAAAAAATCTTACCAGAATGTATACCAGACGTAGACAAACTTGTGCAGTTTAGAAAGGAACGAAGTTATATAATATAGTATAATTTATGTGTGAACTCAACGGCGAATTGAAATTGAAGACGTATACAATAAAATTCATAGGTGTCTCTAAATATTATTTCAATACAAATAAAAAGTAATTTTCTAAAATATGGAACAGAACCGAACACCAAACGATAATAAAAAGAAAATTCTAAATTTTATCAATCACTTTAACTAAAATAATAATTTTCTTCTGAAGCTATAAACGAAGAATGGAATTGTGTAAATGTTTATTTGTTCTTAGCGATGAAAAATGAATTCGCCTATGTAGTATGGACGTTTTTTGACTAGTCAATGAAAAATGTTTTTTTGATCGACGAATTTAAGACGCTTAACCCTTGTATCGTAATCCAGTGGATTATTTGAGCGGATTATTTGAGCGGTTCTCACATCATGCCTTTAATAAAGCTTCACACTGATTTTCTTGTCGTTGACGTGTCTAGAATTCGGCTAGCGGTAAGAATGGTTTTCGTATCTACTGACCACAACATTTCTTACGAAATTAGTAAAAATAGCAGACTCTATAGTTGTATAGTCATGTTACCCTCTTTAGAACTGACGGTCTATTGCGCTGGTCAAGTAGAGTTCATGTTTCTTTACAACGGTATATAAAGGGGTGGTTTTGTCAGCTTTTTACCAAGTTCACTTTACTATCCTTGTTTTCAGCCATGTGTACATTAGAGCTGGGTTTGCTAAGGGACTCGAGTCCGTAATTGTTTTAGATCATTTTTACAGAGTTACGTGTCATGTTAAGTTTGAATCGTTGTTGATATGGATTTAATATCTTCTCCAAGGCTTGTTTTCATTTTAAAAAATAAATTTATTAATTGCGAATTTGTGTCGTCTCCGGCAATTGATTTTGTGTAACATACGAAATCGGAAAATGTGCAGCTTATTACTAAACACACACACACACACACACACATATATATATATATATATATATATATATATATATATATATATATATATATATATATATATATATATATATATATATATATATATATATATATAATGTGCAAATGATTTAAACTTTTGCTTTATGACATAGACTATTGTGCAATAGAACAATCGTACTTGACCGTCATTTCAAATACAATTAATCTATACAAAAGTTACGTCTTTAATCAATAAAAATATAACGTCTTATTAAAAAAACACCACATGTTGCTTTACCCCGCTGCACCAAAGAAAATGTTGAATGTGTCATTTAGCTTAAGGGATAATCTCAATCCACGATTACCATTTCAATACGATGGTAAAACTATGTTAAAAATAAAAAAAAGTTCTTCCTGATTCTATTTTGATAAACAGATTTACAGGCACATACATTTTGGCGACATAGCGAATGTTAGGTTGTAACACAACTATTTATATCTGAACATTTTAACACTATGTTGTAATAAATAGCTTCCTTTCATACAAATTACGTGTATATTTTGATTGTTCTAATATGTAAATATTGTTGATATTTTCATTCGTAGAATATGTAAAACGTGCAATATTTAATGATTTTCTATTTTTACGATATAATACCACAAGACCTTTACAATTACTAGCTCGATACAAAACACAATACGTCACAGTCACAAATAAAAGTTCAACAAATCATGTTCATGAATCCCTGTTTTTTTTTATTTCACTTTGACAACACAAAGAATACGACTTTTGTCTACAAAACTTCTCTGACGTGTCTTGTCAACATAAATCTTGACTCACACACGGCCAAACCTATACTCTCATTTACACAACAAAGTGATCAGACTCTTCTTCTTCTTCTTCGTTCTTAATTATTAGTGTTGAAGAGGATCGAGATTTATCTGCCAGTAGGTTTGAACTCGAGACTTTGTTCGAATTTATCAAACATGAGCTTTTTGCCGACTCGACCACGCCTCCAACACAATTAAGCGTTACGTGTCAATTGGTTATGCGCCATTGAGGCCATTGACTCCGATTTCAGCCTGCTTTTCTGTTTGGATTTGCTTCCATAGCCTTTGTCCAACCAAGAACAAACTACAAGGCAGCAGTTGTTTAAATTTGGAGTTGTCTCTCCTAGAAGAGTGGCTGTCCCCAGCTAACGAGCCTCATCTGCCCGAGGGTTCGAACTCGAGACTTTTCGGTTTATCAACCATGAGCTTTACCGACTCGACCACGCCGATCAGACTGACATTCCGGAACCTTGGGGTCTTCCATAAACCACATCACGCTTTTTACATCTTTTCCAACACCCCCTCCCTTACCCACCAACGACACACAGTAACAAAAGTCAGCCTCACATAAAATGACGTTAAACATCAGCTTACATCAGCCTAAATTTTGTAAACGTAATAAAATAAGATTTCATTTTTAGATAGTTACAGAGGTAAATTTATATTATAATTTATATAAACATTTTTTTAATACAATTGTAAGCCTGAAAATCACTTCCTTTATTTATTTAAGTGCCAAAAAATATCATCACAACTTTTGAGCCTACGTTCATCACCTTGTCACTCGCTGTCTAGACACCTATTCCCACTCTCAGTGCGACGTTTCTTATGCAACTCGCTCGACGCCGCTTTATAATAAAGGTTTCAAATAATTTTTTTTTAAATTAAAAATTAAAATGCTTTCTTAAATACAAAAAAATAAGTTTACTCGACATGGGATGTGAGTAATTTCGTTTATATTAAATTCGAATAGTAGTTTGTTAAGAGGCCTAGCGAGGGGAAGGGGGGGGGGGGCTGTTGGGGGGGACATACATACCCAAAATGGGTTGGAAAAATAAATTGAAATCTTGAGGGGGTGCAAATTGAAAGTTTGAGGAACGGGGGTGCAAATCGAAATCCTGAGGGGGGGGGGGGGGGGAGTGCAAATCGAAATCCTGAAGGGGTGTGCAAAACGAAAGTAAGAGCGGGGGTGCAAATCGAATCGAAATCTTAAAGGGGGCGGGGAGGTTGCAAATCGAAAGTTTGTCGTGATCGACGCTCAGGCAAAAAATGAACAAGCCGTGACTAATCCGCGAAGTCCAGTTGATCGAGCGGGTGTTATTTTTAAATCAAATTTTAATAACTTGCCTAATTGCTAATTAAATTAAACAATATATATTATTACATTGCCATCGTTAATTAATGTAATTAAAATTGAACAAAAGTTGGTTAAAATTAAAAAAAAAAAAAAATTGGAACATCCCACACAAAAAAATGATGTGAATATATACAACTTTATAATAAATACAAGGCTAATTTGTTTTCTTTATAAATTAGTGTTTGTTCTGTCTTTAGTTTTAAACTTTTATATTACCACGCGATTTTTCACAAACCCCAAACTCTCATAATAAGACACGTTAAATGTCTTTACACCCAGAAATTCATCCCTCGTGTCGTTCATCAACTTTTCCTCCAAACAACCAATAGATAGGAAATCTTCCCATAGGTAGAATTTGTTGGCGAAAAGTTCCTTTGTATCGAAAAGCAATGGTAGATCACCTGAGAGACAATGAGAATCAATGAGAGATACTTAGCAATCAAAAGCGTGCATCTAGCAAAACACGTTTTCTTTTATGCTCGTACTTTTGAAAGATATAATTAATCTGTTTCTCTGGAAATGCTATTATAGAATAATACATGCTGCAACCTGCAATTAGCTTTGCTTTATAAGGAAACATTTAATCGACTATATGTATGCAATCTATAGCGTTTGATGATATATTATATCGTATAAGCGTATCTTATATTTATATGATGAAATAAAATGCATCTAAAACAACTGTTAAATGCTTTACTAATGCAACATCAAAAACACGTGCCTATAATCAAGCCATTAAGGTGACTAATAAATCTATTACCTGTTGATAGTATACAGTTGACTAACAAATCTATTACCTGTTGATAGTATACCGGTGACTAACAAATCTATTACCTGTTGATAGTATACAGTTGACTAACAAATCTATTACCTGTTGATAGTATACCGGTGACTAACAAATCTATTACCTGTTGATAGTATACCGGTGACTAACAAATCTATTACCTGTTGATAGTATACAGTTGACTAACAAATCTATTACCTGTTGATAGTATACCGGTGACTAACAAATCTATTACCTGTTGATAGTATACAGGTGACTAACAAATCTATTACCTGTTGATAGTATACCGGTGACTAACAAATCTATTACCTGTTGATAGTATACAGGTGACTAACAAATCTATTACCTGTTGATAGTATACAGGTGACTAACAAATCTATTACCTGTTGATAGTATACCGGTGACTAACAAATCTATTACCTGTTGATAGTATACAGGTGACTAACAAATCTATTACCTGTTGATAGAATACAGGTGACTAACAAATCTATTACCTGTTGATAGAATACAAATGCCTCTGACCGACTGACCAGCGCAGGGATACATGCCAAACCAGTTTTTATATCTTGCTAAAAATGGTTTGATTTCACCGTCAGTTTCAGGCTCACCTGGAATGTAATTAGATTGGCGTGTTATTTTAAACTTATCGTATTCATTACTACTCTGACTCTTACATTGGTGTGTCGGACTTCGTAATATTTAAAATGGTAAAATAAAAACAGAAATAATACTTGATTGTGAGGGAAAAAAAGTTGAAGTGTAATGTTTTAGGCCATGTAAATTAGCTTAAAAGTACTTTGATGAAAGGAGAACTAATATTAATTGAAACGAGATCCAAATATTATTATAAAGCGGACGTTATGTTTAAAATACTAAACATCATAATAGATTAGTACTTGAATCGGACAAAATGAATAAATTAGTTGAACTAACAAAGCTTAGTTACAGGTCCGGGTTGTTACCCCATCTGTAATCACTTTTCAGCTCCTCAGGATAGCTACCGATTTTGAGCCCAATATGGTAATTACTTTCCGCAATACCTTCCATATTTGGTCAACATTCTCCTATCCGCTAATTGGGGAGGCGATCAAATAAAGATCTGCGTCTCCACTCAAATTAGACCTAGTGTTTTTGGTACTGACACTAAGGGAGGGGGAGTGAGCCACACTTTTCTTTACGTTATTATTAAACTTACCTTTGTAGCTGCCGCGTATCCCAAGCTGGGGGTTGTGGTTTAATGTGGCGAAAAACGTTTCATCGGGAACTCCCGTTCCTTTGACCCACTCCAGTAGGTCCTTGGCTGTTTCGTTGTGTAGGATGTAGTCAACAAAATCTCTGAAAAACGACGTCATATACTGAGAATATAAAACATGTAATGGAGAAAATAATAAATTTCATTGCTTTAGTGTCATTTTTAATTCATACTAGACCACCCGTCATCCTTTGGATAACTGTGGGTTCAGGGGTTATTCAAATAGGACTTTTTGACGACTTTTATGTCTCCACCCGCCCCCCCCCCCTCCCACATCGTCACAAATAGCCTGACCACCACATATTTTTGTGTGTAACTTAAGAACCAGGTGTTTTTTTTTTTTTTTTTTTTGTCAAAACGGGTATCATAAAAAAAAGTTAAGGGTCCTGCACTGTATGCAATTTGTTTAAAAAGAACTATTTCGTCGACATTACATTTTAAGTACACTTTACAGTAGAGCAAAGTGAACTATATTACACACTCAGATTATCAGATTGAAATAATACTTAAGTGTTTTGGGCTATTTTCTTTATGTCCTAATGAAAAATACAATTTTATGTTACTCAGTTGAATCGTTGAGAGATAATTATAGGTTATTAAAGTGCTGTTTGTGTGTGTTTAAAAAGAAACAAAACGAAATATAATAACAACACATAGACAATTAAAAAAAATTATTTTATAATGATAGAATATTTAAAAAAATGAAAGTATACCATTTAAAATGGTTTCAAATAAATTAATTAAAAATACAGATTTGTTATTATTAAAACTATTATTATCAGAGTAGTAATAAAAAAGGTGTAATATGACATTTTGCTGGCCTAGTAAAAGCTATAATATTCACAATTAGGCTACATATTGGATCATCAAATAAATATGATTTTGGACCAACAATGTAAAAAGATAATAAACTTCTACATTTTAGTTTTTATTCACACATCATCAGAGATTTTGAACTACTGGAAATTTCTTAAAAAAAAAAAAAAACTTTAAAAAGTTGTTTACGATGAAACTGTTAAATCATATTTATTTGCATAAGGAAATATCTGTATTAATTGATGAATGTGATAACCAAATATTTATTTAGACCTACACCATGGCAACATAGGTCTAACTATTTCCTGCTTAAAGCTTCTACAGTAAAACCAGAGCATCAAAAACAACAAAATTGAATTTATTGCAAAATACTTCTAATGACTACATTCCTTGTAAATATGCTATCTTTTAAAAGCACCTTAACATTTTCCTTTCTTCTTCCTCGGCTAAGTGCTACATATAACTGACCATGCTGAAATACAGGTTTTTCTAAGTAAATAAGGACATTTTCCATGGTCTGCCCTTGAGCCTTGTGTATTGTCATGGCAAAACATGACTGGACTGGAAACTGTGTTCTTTGTAGGGGAATATCGTCGCCTTCAGTTAATTTTACTGTTATTCTTGGTATTAAAACAGTTTCGTTTTGATATTGTCCTATAAGTATTTTAGCAACTATAAGGTTGTTGTGCAACGCTTGAATTATTAGTCTAGTTCCATTGCACAATCTTGGGGGATCAAGATTTCGTAACAGTGCTATAGGGGAACCTATTTTTAGTTCCAACCTATGCGGTGGCAGACCAGACAACTCAACAGAATCTAAAAATTCAGTGGGAAAATGTGCAGAGTCAGTTCCTTCAATTACAGAGTTGAAAGAGAAATATTCTTTCAACTGACCGGGAAATTCTCTTATGCACATTGAATTTATTGTTCTTAAATTTTCATTCAATGGCACCAAAATGCATCTTTTTGAAAATACCACCTTGGGTTCTTCAAATGAAGGGTATATGTTTTTCATACATTGTTCGATAGAAATATTGTTGAGGACCATATCTTCCGGTAATTCTATTTCCCCATTTTCATTTGTAGGTACTTTACCTTCCCCAACGTTCAATAAGAACCTGCTGTAGTCGATTTCAGCCTGCTTTTCTGTTTGGATTTGCTTCCATAGCCTTTGTCCAACCAAGAACAAACTACAAGGCAGCAGTTGTTTAAATTTGGAGTTGTCTCTCCTAGAAGAGTGGCTGTCCCCAGCTAACGAGCCTCATCTGCCCGAGGGTTCGAACTCGAGACTTTTCGGTTTATCAACCATGAGCTTTACCGACTCGACCACGCCGATCAGACTGACATTCCGGAACCTTGGGGTCTTCCATAAACCGCATCACGCTTTTTACATATTTTCCAACACCCCCTCCCTTACCCACCAACGACACACAGTAACAAAAGTCAGCCTCACATAAAATGACGTTAAACATCAGCTTACATCAGCCTAAATTTTGTAAACGTAATAAAATAAGATTTCATTTTTAGATAGTTACAGAGGTAAATTTATATTATCGTCACAAATAGCCTGACCACCACATATTTTTGTGTGTAACTTAAGAACCAGGTGTTTTTTTTTTTTTTTTTTTGTCAAAACGGGTATCATAAAAAAAAGTTAAGGGTCCTGCACTGTATGCAATTTGTTTAAAAAGAACTATTTCGTCGACATTACATTTTAAGTACACTTTACAGTAGAGCAAAGTGAACTATATTACACACTCAGATTATCAGATTGAAATAATACTTAAGTGTTTTGGGCTATTTTCTTTATGTCCTAATGAAAAATACAATTTTATGTTACTCAGTTGAATCGTTGAGAGATAATTATAGGTTATTAAAGTGCTGTTTGTGTGTGTTTAAAAAGAAACAAAACGAAATATAATAACAACACATAGACAATTAAAAAAAATTATTTTATAATGATAGAATATTTAAAAAAATGAAAGTATACCATTTAAAATGGTTTCAAATAAATTAATTAAAAATACAGATTTGTTATTATTAAAACTATTATTATCAGAGTAGTAATAAAAAAGGTGTAATATGACATTTTGCTGGCCTAGTAAAAGCTATAATATTCACAATTAGGCTACATATTGGATCATCAAATAAATATGATTTTGGACCAACAATGTAAAAAGATAATAAACTTCTACATTTTAGTTTTTATTCACACATCATCAGAGATTTTGAACTACTGGAAATTTCTTAAAAAAAAAAAAAACTTTAAAAAGTTGTTTACGATGAAACTGTTAAATCATATTTATTTGCATAAGGAAATATCTGTATTAATTGATGAATGTGATAACCAAATATTTATTTAGACCTACACCATGGCAACATAGGTCTAACTATTTCCTGCTTAAAGCTTCTACAGTAAAACCAGAGCATCAAAAACAACAAAATTGAATTTATTGCAAAATACTTCTAATGACTACATTCCTTGTAAATATGCTATCTTTTAAAAGCACCTTAACATTTTCCTTTCTTCTTCCTCGGCTAAGTGCTACATATAACTGACCATGCTGAAATACAGGTTTTTCTAAGTAAATAAGGACATTTTCCATGGTCTGCCCTTGAGCCTTGTGTATTGTCATGGCAAAACATGACTGGACTGGAAACTGTGTTCTTTGTAGGGGAATATCGTCGCCTTCAGTTAATTTTACTGTTATTCTTGGTATTAAAACAGTTTCGTTTTGATATTGTCCTATAAGTATTTTAGCAACTATAAGGTTGTTGTGCAACGCTTGAATTATTAGTCTAGTTCCATTGCACAATCTTGGGGGATCAAGATTTCGTAACAGTGCTATAGGGGAACCTATTTTTAGTTCCAACCTATGCGGTGGCAGACCAGACAACTCAACAGAATCTAAAAATTCAGTGGGAAAATGTGCAGAGTCAGTTCCTTCAATTACAGAGTTGAAAGAGAAATATTCTTTCAACTGACCGGGAAATTCTCTTATGCACATTGAATTTATTGTTCTTAAATTTTCATTCAATGGCACCAAAATGCATCTTTTTGAAAATACCACCTTGGGTTCTTCAAATGAAGGGTATATGTTTTTCATACATTGTTCGATAGAAATATTGTTGAGGACCATATCTTCCGGTAATTCTATTTCCCCATTTTCATTTGTAGGTACTTTACCTTCCCCAACGTTCAATAAGAACCTGCTGTAGTCGATTTCAGCCTGCTTTTCTGTTTGGATTTGCTTCCATAGCCTTTGTCCAACCAAGAACAAACTACAAGGCAGCAGTTGTTTAAATTTGGAGTTGTCTCTCCTAGAAGAGTGGCTGTCCCCAGCTAACGAGCCTCATCTGCCCGAGGGTTCGAACTCGAGACTTTTCGGTTTATCAACCATGAGCTTTACCGACTCGACCACGCCGATCAGACTGACATTCCGGAACCTTGGGGTCTTCCATAAACCGCATCACGCTTTTTACATATTTTCCAACACCCCCTCCCTTACCCACCAACGACACACAGTAACAAAAGTCAGCCTCACATAAAATGACGTTAAACATCAGCTTACATCAGCCTAAATTTTGTAAACGTAATAAAATAAGATTTCATTTTTAGATAGTTACAGAGGTAAATTTATATTATCGTCACAAATAGCCTGACCACCACATATTTTTGTGTGTAACTTAAGAACCAGGTGTTTTTTTTTTTTTTTTTTTGTCAAAACGGGTATCATAAAAAAAAGTTAAGGGTCCTGCACTGTATGCAATTTGTTTAAAAAGAACTATTTCGTCGACATTACATTTTAAGTACACTTTACAGTAGAGCAAAGTGAACTATATTACACACTCAGATTATCAGATTGAAATAATACTTAAGTGTTTTGGGCTATTTTCTTTATGTCCTAATGAAAAATACAATTTTATGTTACTCAGTTGAATCGTTGAGAGATAATTATAGGTTATTAAAGTGCTGTTTGTGTGTGTTTAAAAAGAAACAAAACGAAATATAATAACAACACATAGACAATTAAAAAAAATTATTTTATAATGATAGAATATTTAAAAAAATGAAAGTATACCATTTAAAATGGTTTCAAATAAATTAATTAAAAATACAGATTTGTTATTATTAAAACTATTATTATCAGAGTAGTAATAAAAAAGGTGTAATATGACATTTTGCTGGCCTAGTAAAAGCTATAATATTCACAATTAGGCTACATATTGGATCATCAAATAAATATGATTTTGGACCAACAATGTA